GCCTCAGATGGCCCCCTCAGGACTACGAGTAATCCGCATTCGGCTCCCAGAAACGTCTGCCGTGGAGCCTCCTGCATCTGCAGTTGGAGCTGGGAGCCAGCAAAGGGGCCTCCCAAGGGAAGCACCCGACTCTGGTCTTCAGAGGAAAGGGGAGGAAACCAGGGGCAATGCATCAGAAAAGCAGAGGACCCAGAGGGCAAGAGTTTTACGGCGTGAAGTTGCTAATTGTGCTTTAATAATAGTCAGGAGGGCAGAAGAGGCCAGTGTTCACACAGAGCAGGACAGCCCGCTCAGCGTCGGGCCGCGCTCTGCTGGGCCTCGCCAAGTTCCCTGGGCTGGCTGGCTGCGTTCTTTCCCTTTTTTTCATCTGTGACATCTGCTCGGTGCTTGTCCCTCCTGTGATACCGTACCCCTCACAGCTGTGCGGACCTCTAGCTCTGCGCTGCTGCATGGAGTGCCCTGAGCATACGGCCTTTTTGATGTGTGATAAAACAGAACCAAGCCACGGGGGTATGGCGAGTGAAGGCATCAGAATATCAATTAACCTGCTCAGAACAAAGCTGCGGCTCCAGAGTGGAATAGACATTTCACTGAAGTGTCAGGAAGATGGATAATGTATTCTAATTAGGGGTTGACTGATACCTCCACATCCAGCCACTCCTGGTAGTAGGACCCACGAACCTAACGAGTGTCCTATCATGGCACTGGCCAGGTGCTGTTTACTGATTTATGACTTCTTGCTTTGCCAGAATTTGCAGCCATTAACTTGCCCTCAACCAAAGCTGCCGTTTTCCCTTGAAAGTGCAGTCCATCCTGCAAATGGGTAGTTGCTCATAACCTCTATAAATGCCAGAGCTCTGGGAAGGAAGATCTTTTCCGAGCGCTAAGCCTGGTGCTTCCATCTTAAGGATGCCCCAGGCCCCTACGCTCCCTGCTGCGGAGGCCTCAGTCACTAGCCTTCCTTCCCAGGAGGACTGACTTGGGCCCATGTGGGGATGAGGGATCTCCATGGTTGCCTTTCCCACCAAGTGTGGGCTGCACTAATGGGGCGTGGGTGCTGCCCTAAGGGGTCCCTCAGGGACCTTAGTACCTGGGTGATCAGACCATCCCCTGGAGTCTGAAAGAGCAACTCTGGAGAGCCAGCAGCTTGGGATTCACTTCAGAGCCCCCCACCTTCTTTTAAAAATTTCACATCCACACCAGAGTGATGCCGGTGAGACCAGGCTAATTAGGGAGATGTTCCTCATTTTGCTGTACTTTTCCCGTGTAATTGGAAGGCCCGCTTTCTCCAGCAAGAAGTCGGTGAGAGCTGTTCCCCTGAATGGTTCTAAAAGCTTTGGACCACATCCTGATGTGAGCTCCAGTTTATGGATGAAATGATAATAACTGCTCCTTAATGCAATATTAAAAGCAGAGGTCTTTCTTGGTGCTGAGCGGAGACGGAGCTCCAGCCTTCTTTCGGCTTCAAAAAGGAACTCGAAACAATCCCCAGCCCTGGTGCCAGAAGCAATCAGTGGGCTCCCCGCCCCTCCCTCCAAATAAAGAAAAAATAAGGGGGTCTGAATGTAGCTAAAGTTCAGAAAATTTCGGTTTGGCTTCCAGAGCTGCGAGCGGGGAGTTCTCAGATGTGGTGCCTCCCGGGTCCCGTGGTGGTGTGCACATCTGTGGGTGTTTGCTCTGCTCAAGAGCGGCAGCCCAGCTCCAGGCTGGCTGTAACAAGGACTTGAGGGAGCAAAAGGCTGTTAAAAAAATTTTTTTTGCACTTTTGCTTCATTAGCTCTAGAAACCAGGGTTCCATCAGCTGCGTGTTTTCCTGCATAATTTAAGAAATTAATGAAAGCGTGCCTGATTTTTCTAACACTCTTTACTCTGTAAATTTGTTTAGTTTTTTTTCTTTTTAACTGTCAGTGGAGGCCTTTGGAACCTAAATATTTTAATATTGAAGAAATGCAGGCCCTTTTCTGGTTAGTTCCTTTTTAGGAACACACGGTGTTATGTAAATCAGGTGTTATGGGTTATAAATGACCTTGACTCTGAGTTCACCCCCACAGGTCCATCCTCTGAGCTTAAAGCAACTAAGTTCTCCTAATGACATGAGGGAGGGGTCTATGGCAGGTGGTGCCCTTCTGGGGGCCAGTGTCAGAAACCGCAGCTTCCAGAGTGGTCACCTGACCGCCTCGCTGCAGAGGGCAGACCTGAAGCTGTTTGCTGCTTTATTTCACTCTTGCAAAGCTCACTTTACCTAGTGGATCTGGACATCAAATCTGAACCATTAAAAAGTCTGTGTGTGTAACTCTAGACTCCTGGCCCTTGAAAGGACTTTAGAAATTGTTTAATGTGAACCTTGCTGAGGGACATAAAAAAATCTACTTAAACAAATGGGAAGGTAAGGCAGTGAGATTGTGAAAATGTCAATTCTTCATACATGTATCCATTTAATGTCATTCCAGAGTTCTAGTGGAATTTCTATTTTTGAACTTGCAAAATATTTTTGCTGCTTACTTGGAAGAACACATTTTTGAAAACAAGAAAAAAGAAGGAGGAACATATCCTATTAGATGTAACAAACATTATAAAACAACATTTTAAATGGTGTGAGGGGGCGTCTGGCTGGCTCAGTCAGCAGAGTGTGTGACTCATGATCTCAGGGTCATGGGTTTGAGCCCCACGTTGGGCGTAGAGTCTACTTAAAAAAATTTTTTTTAATGGCATGAAGGTGATTCTAGAGTCTACGGGCAGGAAGATGCCAGAGCCAACATGGTGTCAGCATTCAGACAGTGACAAAAATGACATTCAGAGGGGAAAAGATAGGCTGTTTCCTAGACGAGGTTGGGACATTTTGGTGAGCCAAAAGGAGACAAATTAGTTCACAGCCTCACGTCATTTTCAAAATAAAATGGGGCTCTATTAAATGTTTACATATAAAGAGCAAAATCCTAAGAGAACACAACTGAAATGCAAGTGGATATCTATCAGCCTTTGCAATGGGAAAGGCCTTTTTGCAGAGCCACACAATGCCAGATCCAAAGAGGAAACAGCACGAATCGATATGGCCCAAAACTTACGTGTTAAAACAGCCCCTACACAAAATTAGAAGGTCAAAGACAAACTGTAGAAAATGTTGGCAGCATTGTTTGCCTCAAAGGGTCTGTGGTAGCGTTTGCCAAAATGGGTTAATTCTTCTTATGTAAAGAACTTTTGTAAGTAAATAAAAGGACAAAACCCTAAGAGGAAACTTGACAGATGGTATGAATTGGCATTTTGGAAACAAAAAATTCAAATAACCAATAAACATGTGGAAAAAATATGGAGCCTCACTAATGATCAAAGAAATGTAAACTAAAGCAGGAATGGTATCCTCTACTTTGCTGGACAGATTTTCCTCCGAGATAATGCCAGACATTGACAAGGATACAGGGAAACAAGTGATCTGAGGTTGGACTCATAAACTGGCCGGGGCAGTTTTGTAGAGCGACATGGCAGAATGTATCAAAAGTCACAAAAGAAGATGCCAACTTTTAGAAATCTATTTTCAGGGGGCACCTGGGTGGCTCAGTTGATTAAGCGTCTGACTCTTGATTTCAGCTCAGGTTATGATTCAGGGTCATGAGACTGAGCCCCGCATCAGGCTCCATGCTCAGCGGGGAGTCTGCCTGGGATTCTCTCTCTCCCTCTCCCTCTGCCCCTCTCCCCTTCTAAAAAATTTAATTTAATTAAAAAATAGAAATCTATTTCTAGGATATTCTGTGTGCATCAAGATGTACTGACAGCGGTTTTTAAAATAATGGTGCAAAACAGGAATGAAACTAAATGAACAATGTGAGATTGGTTAACATTTGTCAGGTCAGTTCATGTGGTGCTTGGCAGCTATGAGCTTCCAGGAGGGGAGCATTTTGTCACATGGGAGAATGTTCCGGAAATGTTTTTGCTGTATGAAGAGTACAGACTACAAAGTAGTATGCACAGTGTGATTTGTTCCCCCCCAGGGGAAAGATACCAGTATGTGAAGGCTGGAAGGAGTTACAGCAAAGTGTTAGCTGTGGCTAGTCTGGGCTGGTGGTGTTATCAGTGACTTGCGCCCTCATTTCAGCTTTCCAGTATCTTCCACATAGTGTACATCAATCATGTGTTTCCTTCACAATTGGACTTAAATGATTAATAAAAATAAATATGCTAGACCAGTTCCCTCGCTGTACCCAGAAGGGGCTGAAGCCTGAGAGATTTCAGCCCTGGAACAAGTTGGCTACAGAACAGAAATTTGAACCCAGATCTCTTAAAAAAAAAAAAAAAATTTATTTATTTACTTGAGAGAGAGAGAGTGAGCATGAGCAGGGGGAGCGGCAGGGCAGAGGGAGAAGCAGACCCAGGGAGCCCAACGCGGAACTCGATCCCAGGATCCGGGATCATGACCGGAGCCGAAGGCAGACGCTCAACCAACTGAGCCCCCCGGGCGCCCTGAGGCTTGTTCTTAAGAAAAGTGGGGTTTCATGTTGACTCAGGTGGTTCCTCCTCCCAGGATCCCCCATCCAAGAAGCTCTCTTTAGGAAATAATCCACAATGTGGAAAGAGCCATACGCGCAAAGCTGTTCATCACATGATTACGATCACGGGAGTTGCTGGCGGTTGAAATGTTCTGTCATGGGGTGTGGCTAGGCAACTATGGCGTGCTCACTGGGTGGGACGTTGTGTAGACCCTGAGAATTGTGGCAATGCAGAGGTGTGCTGATATGAGAAAGTGTTTTGGTAGCCATAATGTGTGATGGAAAAAATCAGGACATCAAATATCTATGTTGTGATTATAGTCATAAATGTAAGATTCAGAAGGAAATGTAATAGTAGAGAGTACTTGTTAAGCTGGGTGATGTGGCTATCAGAAACATTTACTTTCTTTTGTTTTAAAAAGTTCTAGTTTTTCTATAAAGCTATGTTATTCCTTTTATAATTCCAAAAAAATCTAAAAAGTAAAAATAGATGAGCACCTTTCCAAATTCTCTGCCTAGGGCTGGATTCTGGATGGCATCCCTGAAACTCGGGAGCAGGCCCTGATGATCCAGACCCTCGGGATCACCCCCAGACATGTCAGTGAGTAGCCTGCGAAGGGCCCTCCGGCCAGGGTTGCAGTCCCCACACCCCATGAGTGAGCACCCTGCTCTGTATCACCTGCTCCCAGCGCCCACCCTCAGCTCTGTACCATCCAAGACCCAGCAGGAACAAGGACAACATAGTTGAATTTTTCATAAAGCTAAAGGCATTTGGGGATTGCTCTTAGAAGAATGGGGTTTTGTTTGACCCTGGTGGTTCCTTGTTCCAGGAATCCCACATCTGAGAAACTTTAGGAAATAGTCCAAAATATGGCAAGAGCATTTCGCACAAAGACATTCCTCGGAGCGTTATTACAGTGAATGTTTGTGCAAGTGTGGGCTGCCCGCTGTCCTGAAACTGTATCTTCGTGGTTTGGTGCCGCGATCACTCTATGGGACTCTTGGGGGTGGAAGATGGTGGTTGTGTTAGTGTTATTCCACAGCAAGAGAGACATAAGCCGAGTTTTCAGCCCACGAGATTCAAATGTCTGGGACCTGCTGCCCAACATGCCTGGTGGTGCTGTCTTCCTTTTCTCTCCAGTTGTGCTGAGCGCTCCAGACACTGTCCTGATCGAGAGAAACTTGGGGAAGAGAATCGACCCTCAAACGAGAGGTATGCCATCTCCAGCCCCACCCCACTCCATGGAGTTTCAGAGACGATCGGTGATCCATGATCATCACCCACCGTTTACTGAGCCTTTTCCACTTGGGGTGCCCGCAGAGGGCCCCATGGGGGCCACAGAGGCTCAGATGCTGCAGGCTGGGCTGGGAGCAGGAAGTCACTTGGCAGGTGATAAACTCCAGCAGAGGAGGAGTTGGAGGTCCCTGGGGCTGAAGAAGGAGCCCTGGAGATGTTGAGCTGGTTGAGGTGGGTCTCAGCTCTCGAAGACCAGGCAGTTCAGCAGGGGCCCGGGGCCCTTGAACTCTGGCCTTAGGCTTTGGCAGCAGACAGCCCTGGGTTTATGGACCCCGGCCCTGCCCTTTCCATCTGTGTGATGTGGGATGAGTTGCCTAACATCGCCAAGACTCGTTTCCTTACCTGTACCTGGGGTGAGACCTACCTTGTGATCTGACTGCTGTGAAGACAAGCGTATGCAGGTGGCCCAGCAGAGTGAGCACTCAAAAGCCACAACTGTCCTTCCTGTTGTGCTGAGAATCCTCATCCTTTTGTTCTTTTTTTATTTTTTTATTTTTTTTTAAAGATTTTATTTATTTATTCACGAGAGATAGAGAGAGAGAGGCAGAGGCAGAGGGAGAAGCAGGCTCCCCGCAGAGCGGGGAGCCCGATGCGGGACTCAATCCCAGCACCCTGGGATCATGACCTGAGCTGAAGGCAGACGCTTAACCGACTGAGCCACCCAGGCGTCCCCTTTTGTTCTTTTTTTAAAGATTTATTTATTCGTTTTGGAAAGAGAGAGAGCACGAGCGGGCGGGGCAGAGGGAGAGAGAATCCCAAGCAGACTCTGCGCTGAGCACAGAGCCCGATGCAGGGCTCGATCCCACGACCCCGGGATGACGACCCTAGCCGAAACTAAGAGTCGGACACTCAACCAACAGCGCCACGCTGGCGCCCCCTCATCCTTTTGTTATTGTTAATAGAGACGTAAGAGCAGCTCCAGAGCCAAAGCACATCCTGCACAGCTTAGGGGGGATGAATACCCCTAGGACCCTCACAGGCTTTGGCCCCCAGATGGCTCACCTCTGGCCAGATGCAGCAGTGGCCTCGGAGCCCTCTGGGCAGGTGACTCTGACCACGTACCTTTCCCCCTTGCAGAGATTTATCACACCACCTTTGACTGGCCCTCTGAATCTGATATTCGGAACCGACTGATGGTGCCAGGGGGCATCTCGGAGCTGGAGACGGCACGGAAACTGCTGGAATATCACAGGAACATCATCAGGATCCTCCCCGCTTACCCCAAAATCCTGAAAGTCATCAATGCTGACCAGCCGTGTGTGGACGTCTTCTACCAGGGTAAACACAAACAGCAGTGGGTTCCCCATGCACCTCAACCCTCCGCATCCCAGTGTCAACCCCCAACACGACTCAGGGTCTTGAGTCCATTTAGGGCAGGGGTAAGCAGCCCCACACCCACCACTGCACTGTCGTTGGAACAATAACAAAGGTTCACGGAAAGTGGCTGGAGCAGGTGTGTGTGTGTGTGTGTGTAGGTAAAGGTTGAGCCCTGAGACTTTGGAGCCAGGGGCCCTGTATTCAAATCTCATCCCCACCACACATCAGCTGTGTGCTCTCCGGCAACTCTCTTACCTCTCTTGGCCTCAGTTTTGTCGTCCCTAAAATGGGAACAAAAATCATGTCTTCCTCATCGGCTTGGGTGAGGATTACACAGGAGTCTGCAAATCACGGATCCACAGCCGTGAGTCCAGCAGCTGGTACAGAGAAGAGCTCAGTAATGTCAGACATCATTGCTATTGGGACTCATCGTCCTGTCCAAAAAGGCCAGGGAAAGCTAGAATCATTCTATCCCAGAGCAGCTGAATTGTAGTTTATAATAGTCTCCACATCCAAGTATCCCCTTCTATGCAGTCCGGGTAAATGACACAATAAAAATGCCGGCGCAGTTGTCTAAGACACTGGACCATTGACAACGGCCCTTTTTGGTATATTCTCTCAAATCTCTTTAAGAAAAGTTTTGTTTTGGTGGGGAGGTGCTTCTGAGCTCCCTGGCCTGGCTGTTCCCTGGGCCCCCACCTGCTGTGGACTTCCACTGAGATCCCAGGGACGGCACAGCCTCACTCCCCGAGGGTGTCAGTCAACCCGTGGGGGGATGTCTAGAAAATACCACTAAAACAACCAGGCTGTGGATACCAGACCGTTTTCCAGTGGTTTTACATCTCGGAAGGGTCTTTAGTAGCAAGCACTGCGCTCTGAAGATAAACAACCACATTTATCTTATGGCATGATTCTGAATTTACACATTAATTACTTCCAAATTACTTAATTAAATTTAAAAGTTCATATGATCGTTCATAAAGAATTCATGCCTGGAATTGTAAATAAAAATGTGAGTGTCTGCATATTAATTATTATTAATTAATAATGCAGACAGATAAATTGAAAATTGGAATGCAAAATTCTCTCTGTGTTGTTTTTTTAATCTCTCTGCAGTGCATCCAGCGACCACATATTTTTAAAAAGAATAATTAGATGTTGAGACTATCTGGGGGATCATTACTTCTAATTAACTTAGTTATTTACTGTAAATTAAGCATCATTTGTAAGCAGGCTGCTTTGCCCGTAGTGTTTGTGCATTTCGGATGTGCCGGATCATGGCAGTTCTGGTGGGCTGGAATGGCTTCCTCCAGCTTATTCTCGGGGGCAGAAAATGTTACCTAGGCAGCGGGTTTGGGAGAGTCCCCCCAGCCCTGCCAGTTCTCTGCAAAATGGGGCAAGAATAATACATCTCTCGTGGGAATGTTGCACCAATGGAATGAGATGGCGCCCACAGAGTATTTAGCTTAGCAGTTAACACAAGCTGGTGTGTATGATGTTATGATGATGATGATTAATATCACAACCTTTAAGACAGTCGATTAACTTACCTGTGCCCTTAGTTCTAAAGACGAGGGGAATTGTGGTTATCTATAATGATCCTTCCAATTAAATATCCTACAAAGATTCGAGAGGTCAAAATCCATACAGAGAACATCCTAGGGCTTCTCGCTTCCTGTTTGCCCCCACTCCCACCCCGGGGACATTTGTGGTTGTTACAACTCAGAAGTGTGCTCCTGGCACCTGGTGGATGTGCCCCAAATGTCACAGGTGCGAGGTTGGCAAACCCCGCAGCCCCTGTCCCTTGTTTTAGGGGGGCCAGTTCCCTGAAGGCGGCATGGTGGCTCAGCCCCTTGCCAGGGCGGATCCCATCTGAGAGCAGGACAACCATCAGAGGACCGTGCATGGCTGACCTTGCGCAGGATGGTCTGGGTCCGTGGCAGGAGGCGAGGCTGGGAAGGGAGACCCTGTTTTGATGTGGGCGGCTGGGGAGCTGGCACCAGCCCTCGGCCTCAGCAGGTGCCAAGCAGCTGCCCCATAACTGCCTCCTCAGCTGCTCAGGTCAGGGTGACCTGTTGGATGTTCTGTAGCTTTTGGCATCCAGCGCCCCCCCCCCCGCCATGGTGCAGCCACCTCTGTGTTGGGGACGCTGGCCCCATGTGTCCCTTCTTCTTTGTTCATCAAATGCCGGGACACGCCATGGGCCAGGCGTGCGGCTGCATCTGCCCACTCCCGGGACCTATTTGATCACTGCCTCTTTGGAGACTCCTGACAAAGTTGGGGTCACTGGAGCGCAGCTGAAATTATTCTCTACCAATTCCCGGGTCCTTCAGGAGTCCCCGTGCGTGAGGCCCCTGCAAGGCCTGATGCATTTATCAAAGTCTGCATCTGACACTGGGAGACCGGCCTGGTCCTGGGCTTCAGGCTAGAGGCGCAGCCCGGATTCAGTTTGGAAACATCCCAACCCAACAGTGTGCGTCCTTTGTCCTGGGACCAGCCACCCGACAGCACACCCCGCCCCCCTTCAACCAGGAGGGACATGCAGGGTGGACGGTGCTCCAAGGGTGGCTTCTGGGGATCCACGGCCCCGTCCGCCTTTGTGCCCAGGCCTGAATCAGAAATCCTCCCCCTTCCCTGCGGCCCCGCCCCGTGGCTGCTCGCTGCCCCACAGAGGGTTTCCACCTGTAAGTGAGAGTAATCATCACTGCCATTAGAAGAGCCTGAGCACAGGTGCTGTAAGCTGCTTTCCCTTTCTTTAGGACCTGAGTTTACTATCCTCACATCCTCTCTTTCCAGCTCTGACCTATGTCCAAACCAACCATCGATCTAATGCCCCGTTCACCCCACGGGTGCTGCTTTGTGGGCCCGTGGGCAGTGGGAAAAGTCTGCAGGCGGCCCTCCTGGCCCAGAAATACGGCCTCGTCAACGGTGAGTGCCCCGGCTGCGCCCTGTTTCCAGAACCTTCCCCAGCCCCCCTGCCCTCCCAAGCTTTCCAGCCTTAGGAGGGGTTGAGGAGATCAGTCTCACTTCTCTTCTTGCTCTCTGCTGTCAACAACATTCAGGTAGTCCATCTTTGCAGGGAGCAGCTTTGTTCCTCACAAAGAACATGGCCATAAAAACATTAACCACTAAAAACGTGTTCGCAGCCCAAAAAGCCAGCACATTTTCCAGTCTTCATTTGTTCTAGCCTTTGGAGCAGTGGTGGTTCTGCACCAGGGGCTCGTCCTCCAGCCCCCACGGCCTCCCTGCAAAGCCACAGTTCTTGTATAATCCAGAGCTGCTGTTGATTTCTTTTCTCCGGTCCTGTTTGGCTACCCGCCCCACCCCCCCACCCCAGGTCAGCGTGCTTGTAGGCAAACAATTTCTGAACCAGACGAGGACTCCTGGCTCGTACAGTTTCAATAAATATTTTATCAGGAGGAGAGAAAATATTGAAATCAGTTCTCCAGGCCTGTCCCAAGGTGGTCCCAGGCGGGCAGGGATGCCAGTCTGCCTTCCGGAGGATAGGAGGGGAAAGGAGGAAGAAGCAAGAACCACCCTCGCCACCAACACCACTTCCAGGAAATGCTGCACAAGCCCAAGTCACCTCTAGTTACGAAGAAAAAAAGAGTCCTGCGCCCCAAATATAAAAACATGCATATACATGCCTCCAAATTCTGCAGATACACCGTATAAATACATGTGTATGCAAACAGACACGAATATATATGTGCCACCCCGGGAGGATCAAGTTTTCAATAAAGACACTTTTCAAGTGGGTCTCCTCCAGTATAAAATCCCGAAGCCACTGACAGGAGTCAGTAACAAAAATCGTACCCATAACGTGAAGCTAGGGAACTGAGTATTCTGATGAGTAATGAAAAACAGTGTTAGTCCTATTAGTAGTCTTGTGAAAACACTAAATAGTCATACTCTGGTTCGATTAGCATGGAAAAGCACTCTGGACACCTCAGGATGAAAAATGCTTTTGCTTGCATGGATTTTTTTTTTTTTTTAATTTAAACTGAATTGTTCAGGTAATTCCTTCTTTGGGTTCCACCTCTTGACGTATTATAAGGCTGAATCTGCAGCTGTGGTCGTGGCTCCTGGGTAAGAGTGAGCACCTGCCTGCTTGCCCCTGCACCCACGTGCATATGTAGGGACTGTGGCGCCAAGGGCGGGAATGGCGGAGGGCACCTCTAAAAGCCTCAACCCGCAACACAATACCTTAATACAGCACGCAGCCTTATTTCAGTGACCGTCACTGTGCCGTATGGTGTTTATGCAGACAGTCATTCAAGAAAAACATTTTTCACTTTACATTGTTTTCCACGTACCAATCACGAAAAATGAAATTATAGGCCTAGATTTCTCCCAAAAATGACAACAGGAAAGCTCATCACGGTTTCTGCTTTGTAGCTAAAGAGCCATTTGGGGGCTTTTTTCGGTAATTGAGCTAACTCAGAAAGTTCACATTTCTCGAAGGCATTCTTGGTAAGTACAAGACATCACGAGAATTCAGTAAACCCATCTGAGGGAGCTCCAGTTGGCAGAGGCACTGTCCACGGAGGGTTCTCTGCAGAGGCCTCTGTGCGCCCAGGGCTCCTGGAGCTGCCTGCTCCCCCGTGGCCACCCCCAGCTCAGCTTCTGTCTCCCCATGTGACAGGAAAACAGCTCTGAACAAGCAAGCAACCCAACGTTTACGCCACAAGGTTGATTGGAAGACTTGGGTTTACAACTGGTGAGAATATGAAAAGGCACAACTTTTTGGAAGACAGAGGCACTGTTGGTGTGAACCCCGCAAATCCTGGGGTCCAGTGACTTCACTCTGTGGATTCGATTTTACTGAAACCCTCAGACACTGAACAACAGATGTGAGGGAGCATCACGAAAGTCCGGGCAACCCAAACTCTGTTAATAAGAGGGATAGTTAGGTAAGCTGTCAGAAACCCATGTACTGGAGCACTAATTATGTCATTATTAGTTAAAAAGAAGAGGCAGCTATTAAAAAGAAACCTGTAAAGTGACTCGATGTCCGTGATTTGTTGTTTAATGAGGGAGGGGGTGGAGAGCCAGTCATTCGACAGTGTTCAGGGGATGATCTCATTTTTGTTTAAAAAGTGTTAGTGTTCGCTCAGAAACCATCTGAAGGAACATCCACACATCAAACTGTCTGTGTCTGTACAGTGGCATATTATACAACTCTGATATTTTTTTGCAATGAGCATGAATTTTCTAACCAGAGACCACAATGAAGAATTTTATTAAAATATCATGATCATAGGGGCAGCCGGCTGGCTCAGTTGGTAGAGCATGTGGCTCTTGATCTCGGAGTTGTGAGTTTGAGCCCCACGTTGGGTGTAAAGATTACTTAAAGTTTTTTTTTTTAATTAAAATACATATATCATAACCGTCCTTATTGAGTGCCTGTTCTGCGCAGTGCAGGAAGGGTGTAGAAAGAACCAGAGCGGAACATAAGGATCCAGGTGCACGGCCAGGCTGGGGGAGGGGAGTGAACAAGGTGAGATGAGTTTATCCCAATGTAGGTCCAGGTCTGACTGTGTCCAGAGCCTTGGTGCTGGGAGCCATTAGGAGAGAGGAGACTGTTACAATGTTTTCTTCACAAGACACTGTGGAGCGAGGTGGTTGTAGGCAGGAGTTTTAAACCATTCTTTCCTAATATAAGCCCTGGACACTCCACATTTTCCTCTAAACCCTTCTTTAGCTGCATCTCACAAAATTTTAATGTGTTGCGTTTTATCATTCAGTTCAAAATATTTTCTTACCTGCCTCGTGGTTTCTTTTTCTTTAATTTATTTATTCATTTGAGAGAGAGAGAGAGGGAACACGAGAGGGAGGGGCAGAGGGAAAGAGGATCTCAAGCAGACCACGCTGAGCGCGGAGCCTGACGTGGGGCTCAATCCCATGACCCTGACATCACGACCTGAGCTGAAACCAAGAGTCGGACGCTCATCATGGTTTCTTTTTTGACTTAAGTATTATGTATAAGTGTATTGCTTAATTTCTAGATATTTGGGAATTTTCCAAATTTGGGGGAGGAGTATTGATTTCTAATTCTATTGTGCTCAGAGAACGTACCTTATATGGTTTCAGTCCTTTGAAATTTACTGATACTTTTTTATGGCTCAGCATGGGGTCTCTATGGGTGGATTCCATGTGCATTTGAAAAGAATACGTACTCTGGCCTCGGTGGGTATAGTGCTTCACTGATGTCAGTTAGGATAATATGTTTGATGGTGTGTTCAGTTCTTCCCTGTCCTTTATGATTTCTCACTACTATGATTTCAGTTACTGAGGGAGATACATTAAAATCTCCATCTCTGATTGTGGACGAGTCTACTGCTCTGCCAGTCTCTGCCTCAAGTCATTTGAAGCCATGTTATTGGGAGCATGTACACTGAGGACTGCTGTGTCCTCTTCATGAAATGACCCCTTTCTCCTTAGGAAATGCTCTGCTGTCTTCAAGGAAGGGTAATGCCCTTCCTTGAAGAGTACTGTCTGATAGTCACAGAGCCCCTCCGGCTCTCTTATGATGAGTGTCTGGATGGTATATATTCTGTCCTTTTTCTTTTAAATTATCTGTGTCTTATATTCTAAATATGTGTCTTGTACACAACATGTACTTGGGTCTTTCTTTCTTAAAATTCAGTCTGACATTTTCTGCCTTTTAATTGAAGTGTTCAGTTCATCTCTATTTTAAGTAGTTTTTAGTATGGCTTCAAGCCTACCGTTCTGGTTTTTTGCCTTCTGTTACCTCTTCTCTGTTCCTCCTTTCCTGCTAACTGTTGGATTAGCCAGATGTTGTTCAGTAATGCATTTTATTTCCTCCGTTGCCTTTTCAGCTGTATCTCTCTGCTTTGTTTTGTTAGTGGTTGCTCTAGGGGTCACATAGCATCATTTATTCCTCACGGTGTGCCTTGAGTAATAACAAGAGTTATTAATATATATATAAATGTATATAATTAATATATATGCTATTATATGTATATAATAATAACAGTAACAGGAGAACCCACAGCGGATGTCTTTCCAACTTACCTTGCTCCTCTCCTGTGTGCTATTTTTGGTCATACATTTTATTTCTACATGTTATAAACTCTACAATATATTGCAATTATTTTTGCTTTAGTCATTTGGTTTTTTAAGGGGAGAAATGAGGGGGAAAGGCTCAGTTAGGTACTGACACATATCAACACTTGTTTGTTTAGATCTACATTTCCATCTGATATCATTCTCTTTCCCCCTGAAGAACTTCCTTTAACATTTCTTGTAGTGCAGGTCTGCTGGTGACAAATTCAGCTTTCGTCTGCTGAAAATGTCTTTATTCTGCCTTCATTCTTTTTTTTTTTTTTCCTGCCTTCATTCTTGAAGGACGCTTCTGCTACACATAGAAATCTATGTTGACAGGTGTTTTCCTCTTAGCGCTTTAAACATGTCATCCCATTGTCTTATGGCTTGCGTTGCTTCTGATGAGAACTTGGAGATTATTTTTATCCTTGTTCCCCTACATATAAAGCATCTCCCCCACCCAGCTGCTTTCAGTATTTTCTCTTTGTCTTTGGTTTTCAGAAATTTAACTAGGAAGTATCAAGGTGGGGTTTACTTTATGTTTATTCTGCTTGGGTCGCCGAGATTCTCGAATCTGTGGATTGATATTTTTCATCACATTTTGAAATATTTTTCTTCAGTTTTTGAAATTCTCTTGCCATTATTTTCTCAAATATTTTTTTCTCCCTCTCTGTCCCCCCCATGTCCCTCCCTCTCTCTCCCATGTCCCTCCCTCTCTCTTCCTCACTCCCTCCCTCCATTTTTCCCTATCTCTCCCACTTCCCTCCCATTCTCTCTCTCTCTCTCCTTTCTTCCCTCCCTCTCTCTCTCCCTCCCTCCCTCCCTTTCTCCTTCCCTCTCTCTCTTTCTCTCGCCTTTCTGGAACTCTGATTACACATATGTGAGACTGATACTGTCCACTAGGTCCTATGGGTCTATTCTTTCTTTCCAGGCCTCCCTTAACCTTCTCTTTGCTTCAGTTTGGATACTTCCTATGGCCTGTTTTCCCGTCTTCAGATTCACGGATTGTAGCTTATCCAAGGATCTTTCCACTTAAGATACTGTATTTTCCAGTCTAGAATTTGCATCTGGTTCTTTTATATAGTTTCCATTTCTCTGCTGGGGTTCCCCAACTGTTCACTCATTTTAACTATCTTTTCCTTTACAGTTTTAAACATATTTATAATAGCTGTTGTATAGTTCTCATGTGCTTGTTCTGACATCCATGTCATCTCTTGATCTGATTCTGTAGCCTGTTTTCTCTCTTTGTAGGGATCACACTTTCCTGATTGATTGATTGATTTTTGCATCTCAAGTAGTTTTTTATTATATACTAGACATTGTGGTTCCCTCATTGCTGAGAGTCTGGATTGTGTGGTTCTGCTTTAAGAATATTGAGTTAAGAGTTGAGTTCTAACAGGCAGTTAATTTGCTGCAGGATCAGCTTGATCCCATGGAGGCTGACTTTTAGTGTTTGTTCAGGTGACGCCAGAGTGTGCGTCCTCTTGGGCTCGTGGGCCCCCATACCTGGAGTCTCAGCTGACCAGGCCCCCGGCCCCGCCTCTCTCTCCAGCTGTCTGAGCACCAACATCTCCCTCCACTGTGTGCCTCCCCCTCAGCGCACAGCCTGAGTTTTTCTTTTTTTTCTTTTTCTCAGAGGGAGTTTTTCTCTGCCGGGCCTGGGTGAGGGCGGTCTCACCCACCACGTGTGCAGCTTTGCATTGACCAAAGACCCCAGTGAGTCCCCGTGAGGACTTCTGAAGCTACTTCTCTGCACAGCTCTCTTCTTTTCCAGGTTCCCCAAATCCCAGCTCTCCATCCAGTCTTTGCTGCCCGCTGTTCTGAGTTTGTCTCCCCTTCTCCTGTGCTGTGCTGTGGTTTGAAAAGTGCTTGTAGGTAGAAATCCAGGGGGCAGGTGGGACTCACTTGGGGTGTCTCCCTTCTCTCAAGGGTCACAGCCCCATGCTATCAGCAGTCCAGTGCCTGAAAAGAGTTGTTTCACATATTTTGGTCAGTTTTATAGCAGAAGGTATGTATGACATCTGGCCAGAAATGGAAGCAAAGTGTGGGTTTGATGTCACACAGCCATGGGTTAGAATCCCAGCGTGGCCGCCTAGTGGTTCAATGACCTGGGACAGGTTGCTCCATCACTTTGCATACTGAGCACAGTGCTTGGCACGTAGAAAGGTCTCAGTCACCGCTGGCCTTCATCATGCCCCCTGTGTCCTTAGCGAGTGGCACTGCCAGCCACTTCCAGTGTGTTCACTGCTGACCTTCACACAGTGAGTCAAGCACATCCCCTGGAGAGGTGAGGCTTTGGTGATGGTCGTGCTCTTAAACATTCACCGTTTTCACTTAATTTTAGGAGTGGTGTTTGGTTTCTTTAATATATAAAGAAAACCCCTTGGTCTTAAAGTTAAGAAAAACAAAACTGTGCAGTCAACCTGTCATGGAAACGTAGCCGAACCTTCCAGCTTGGGCTCTTAGCGGCTCACCACCAAGGACAGACAGCATGGGCTGGGTTTGTGCAAGCCACCGGCACTGGTCCGCCGGTGCCCACGTGGTGGCCATGGCTGGGGTCTGGAGACCCGACGGGGCTCATGATAGAAAGGCTCCTGTCTGCACGGGCCATACATCCGAAGACGGTTGGGGGCTACAGGCCGGGCAACCCCAGCGAGCTGCCTTAGTTATGAGCGCGGCCATCTCTCCTGTAAACATAGCCGGTGTCCCATGGGGACGCCTGGCCCACGGGAAGGGCTGTGGGGACAGCGAGCTCCCCCGGTCTCCCCGGCGCAACAACGGTGTGGACACGAGCAAACGGGCGGCTCTCCCCCCGCGTCACTCCCCGGCTCCGGGCAGAGTGGCGGTCGCGATTCCGGGCTGAGCGAGGCCCTGCAGGAGCCTATGGGGTGGCTCGTCTTGTCGTGTCCTCCCTGCACCATCCAGTTTTAATCCGTTCTTGGCCAAATGCATTCCTTTCATTCCACACCTTCCTCCTCAGCTTCTTTTTTATTCCCAGGTCCTTTTTGATAGTTGCTTTCACTTGGACACACAAACACACTCAGAAAAACCCTTTTATATTTTTCTCAGTGACCTTTTTTCCCCCAGCAGGTAGCACCAAGGCTTTTTTTTTTTTCTTGTTCTTCCTTCTGTTGAAAATTTAATGGGTGCCTTTCTGTTCCTCTCTCCTCCAGTCCACTGTGGGCAACTGTTGAAAGAGGCTGTAGCAGACGAGTCAAAATTCGGGGAGCTCATCCAGCCCTATTTTCAGAAGGAGATGGCAGGTAGGCCACACATTGTTCAATGGCCACGGCCGTTCGGGCTCCGGGGGGCAGATTGCGCCGGATGAGGCTCACCGGGCGCTGGGGGGCTCGGCCCCAGGGACAGTAGCTGGGAAATGGAAACTGGGCTTTCCTGTCAGCAGAGGCTCTGCCTTTGTTCCCCCGGCAGGGCTCCATCCTGAGCGGGGTGGAGGGGGGTGTAGCCATGGTGTGTTATCCCTGGAGGTTGGGGATATTTCTGTTTCTCGAGAATGTATGCTTTTCGTAACTGAGAACTCTTAAAATTGAGAGCCAGGAGAGGCCACACAGCTGCCCACATCCTTGATTATTGGGCATACAAAATTACTGTGGGCCAATATTCTGATTTAAGCAGAAGTCAAGAGCCAGAAAGTTCAGACAGCTTTGCAGATACCAGGGTTGAGTGGCCACTGGTCCTCAGGGGCTTGGAGGAGGGAGGCGGGGCCACATCATCCTTTCAGGCCCCTCTGTGATCTACTGTCTGAAAGAGTTCTCTGTCAACCCCAGGAAGGGCACCTGTGAGATCATTCTAGGTCAATTTCCTGAGCCCACAGATGAGCCATGGAGAAGGGGCCAGCCTGCTGAGGCCGCATGGCCAGTTCACATCTGAGCCCCTCTGGACGTGGCGTTTCCTCCCTGGGCAGTGCACCGCACACACCCTCATCTTCCTCTCCTGCCTAAAGCACTGTCGCTCCCCTGTGCAGTCACCAAGTCTGCTGGGAACGTGTCCTGTGGAGAAAACCCAGAGCAAAAGCTGCCCTGTGGAGACGATGCATGCCTTGATGAGGACATGCTCCCAGCAGAGGACTTGTTGGTTGTCTTCTACCATTTTCTGGGTAGAGCAGTTTGGGGGATGCGCCCGAGAACAGGCAGCTTACTCCTAACCCATCAGCTGAGGGCCCCCTGGGACCGTGTCCTGGCTTGGCTCTCCCAGGCCCCCTTTAAGACGCTCCATTCCCCCAGCATGAGGTTCAGGTGAGGTGGGGTCAGCTCCTTTGGACACAGTGATCTGCATAGAGGCAGGTGGACGAGTGAGTCTGGTCATCCCTCCATCACGAGGGTATAAATCGAAGGCAGTAGAAGCAGGAAGCTCCAGGCAGGATCGAAAGCCAGTGCGCGCTTCGGTGCCCCCCTGTCTGGTTCGGATCCCAGAGCTGCCCCCGTGAGCCATGCAGCCCTTGTCAGAGCCTGAGGCCTCTCTGTGATGAGATGGGGATGGGAGTCCCTAGGTTCCCGGGCAGGGTTCCCACAGGGCGGGACGTGGTGCGCACACCCGGGGCCTGGCAGGCACGCTGTCGGAGAGTACTGGTGCCCGAGCACACCCGAGCTGTCTCCTTCCCGCGATGCCACTCCCCATTCACGGGCGTGGGCGCCGCTGGTTCTTGGCACCCTAAGGAACATTTGTGGAATAAATGGGTGAATATAATAAGTTCACAGATTTATATCGTTTTAATTTTTACTGCAAAATCGTCCCCTGCACAGACTGGAGGACAATTTAACTCCCCACTAACAAGCACGTAATGGTTCAGAGAGAAAGACCGACGGACAGATGAGGCCGCGCTCACGGTCGGTGGATCTCGGGCAAGGGCACGCGGGAGCTCTGGCTCTTCTTGCAGCTTTTCTGTCCTTCTGGCTTTTTTTCAAAATAAGGAGTTACCAAAAGTAAGCATTTAGGTGGTTTCCAAATTTGCACTCCCTCAGAAACACCATAATGAGTCCCCTCGTACCTGCACAGGCTCGCGAACAGCCCTGACGCTGTGGGGTCGATGGAGCGCAGGGGGAGAGCCGTCCCTGCCTGGTGTGCTGGATGCTGTCCTCCGTGTCCCTGCCACCTCTCGTTTTACGTCGCTGCTGCAACAAACTCAGTTTGTTGAAAACAGCAGGTTTTCAGGTAAGGTAACAAACAGCACCTGTTTGTTACCTGACCGTTCTGGAGGTCGGAAGTCCTGGCCGCAAGGTGTGGGTTCCCGGTGTGCATGCGCCCTCCGGAGGCTCTGGGGAGCGTCTGCTTCGTCGCCCCCTCCAGCTCCCAGAGCCCCTTCCTCTGTCCCCACAGTCAGCAGCACAGGGGCACCTTCAGATCCCTTGCTCCCCCGACTGCTGAAAATAAACCCCAGGGTCTTTCCAGTGGTGGGCAAGAGGCGGAACTGGTTTCTGCTTTGGGTTCTTTGGTGACTCCAAAGGAGCCTGGGGGCACCGGTCCCTGTAAAGCTGGGCTCTGCTCTCCATTGTCTCCTCTGCGCCCTGCTGTTGACTTGGCCCTCTGTGCTTCCGCACTTCCCACAAAATTAAACAGCACACAACAGCAACCACTACCGTATCTTCTAACAGAAGCAATAAATTCTGCCGTTTCACTAATCCCGGTCTCGCAGAGATAACAAAGAGTGCATTTACATTCATAGCCACTAACGGGGTCTCATTGTGGGCCGTGCAAGCTGCTGAGACAGCCACGGCGTGGGGCTCACACAGGAGGGTTGCTGGAGCCACCCAGGTCTGGCGGGGACCTGCTTGGCCACCATCTGAAACAGGAAGAAAATGTAAATGATTCTGACCCAGCTCGGTTTTGAAGGGAAGGTCAGACTGAACACTGAGGCTCTGCTTAGCCGACCACGGCCTTGCTTATCTGCCAGTCACTGCAGTTGGCAGGCCTGCCGAAGCCCCCTGAGGCCGAGTCCATCACCCATCTGGGCCCTGGATGCAGGTCACCTCCCTGCACCCCGAGTTCTGAGCCCAGTGGGAGGCGGACCTCTCTGGGGGCATCAGATGGAAACACGGCAGGGCTGTGAGGGCACACTTGGCCTTCCTGACATGGCTTCCCAGTCCAGGCCTGGGGACTAGCCAGTGGAGACTCCTCCTCCTGATAAATGGCCACACCCTGACAGTGGGGACAGGGAGACCGGCCTCAGATCTTGCCCAGGAAGGACCCTGAGTGGAAGCAGGCATGGGGAGGGCAGCCCACTCCGCTGGGGGCGAGGGCCAGCCAGCTGGAGGATGGGAGCCAGAGGGACGGGGCCAGTCCAACCAATGACTCTCCTCTCTGGGGAAGAGTGGGGCAAAGGGCAGGGGAGCAGAATTCCTCCCCCAGATGCTGCCCTGGGCTCGGAAGGTATCCCCTCCATACTGAGAGCAACAAGGCACCCCCTCCCTGCAACACTTGTAGCCCATTGGCAGAATTCCAGCAGAGCGAGATAGTGATGTTCCTCCATTGTTCTTGGGGCCTGTCGGATGTCCGTCTTCAGAAGCCTAGGCATGCTTCAGATATCTCTGCCCTGGGTGCCAGCAGCATTCCTGGGAACGCGAAGAGTGCCTGGCCACTCCCCCGCATGTGTTTTCACATGTGAAATCCAGAAGGTTCAGGAGGCTCAGCCAAAGGGGCAGAGATTCTTGTCGGGGCTCGGAGGCCCCATCACCCTGGGCAGAGCTGGCCGACGCCACCACCAGAGCATCCCTCCGTGTAGCCGCCCCAGTGCAGAAACCCACCTCACCACCCCCCATACTGGACAGTACCCTTCTGGGTACCAGGCCTCCCGCGTTGGGGACTTTGCCCTGTGCCCCTGGCTGCTGGCCTGTGAGCCAGCCCTCCTGCCCGGTCCTCACTGGGACCCCTGCCATCACGGGCTGTTGCCCTCTCTCCACTCACCTTGGAGCTGCAAGCCCCCGAGACGCGCAGCTTTGTGATGGTGATGCATCTCGGCCACGCTCGTGCTCACCGTCACCACCATCGCCAGCGCAGCAGAACAGACCCAGATGTCATCTTTCCCCCAACGAGCCACTTCCTCTTAGTCCCCCCTGCGGGGCCGCGTGATGTTATGTCCCAGTCGCAACCTCTGCAGGCTTAGTTATGTTCTCTTCCATCCTCACGGGTGCTGCCAACACCTCCTTCTGTGGAATCAGCAGCAAAATTAATAACTGTTGTTTCCCCATCTTTCCACATTGACTGGGCAGAGGGCTCCAGGGCCCATCACAGCCCATCCTAAATCTCTTGATCCTAGGCTCTTGGCGACCGCACCGTGGACAGAGGTTGGGGAGATGCTTCCTCTGTGTCCCGGACTTTGAAATATATAGGTCTGACCTCCTAAACTCATCCCGACTCTAGCTGCAGTGAACAGAACAAATTTATCCCCCGGGGTTCTGCACGCCGTGTTCTTTATGCAGGCAACCTCCATTACAGGCAACGGGAGTTTGGGCTGTGCACGACACACAGGGCTGGGCCTTAAATCACGCGGGCTTAGCTGCCAGGAAGCTCCTGTCACTTTCACGTGGGTACGAAACAAGTAAAAAGTCTTTCAGTCTTTGCCCGAAATGTGCGAGAGTTCGCCTTGACCCAACCGCATTATTGGGATTGTCAGGTCAGGGGACCACCAGTGCGGGCGCGTCCCCAGTGGTGGCATTTGAGGCAGCCTCTAGGAGGCTCTCCAGGAGAGGCACAGAGAGCTGTGCCTTCCAACACCTGCCCGCCGGCCTGTCGGCCAAATTACAGTGGGCTCCTAAGTCCCGTCACCTCTGTCACCAACCCACCGGGCCGGCACCCCCAGCAGCTAAAGCAGTTCAGTTACCCGAAGGCCCAAACTCCTTGGTGCACACGCCAGGTGTATACGGACTTCCAGGTAAGAAAACAGCTGTTTAATTGGCGTAATAACTTTCCCCGAGGAGTGCCGGTCCCTATGCAGTGGAAAACTAACAGGGAAGACAGATCATTAGCGAGTGTTCCCTGTGCCCTCTCCCGCACGCCCTCCTCTTTCCTAAACACCGCTGTCTGGAGAGGCTCCCTCCTGGCCTGAGTGAACCCGAGCGGTGGCGGGAGATTTGGGGGGCAATTCGAGGCTCATTTGCACCCTTTCCAGCCCTCGCCACAGCAAACGCAGCCCCCGTAACACACACCAGCCACACTGGCCCCAAATTGGCATGATCACGAGCGTTTCCGGAGCCTTCCACGCATCTGCCTCCCAGGGGCCGAGGATCAGAGGTCCGCCGAACTGCCTGCC